GGGAAGGGGAAGAGGAAGAGGAAGAGGAAGAGGAAGGGGAAGGGGAAGGGGAAGGGGAAGAGGAAGAGGAAGAGGAAGGGGAAGGGGCAGGACCTGATGTGGAAGTTCTGGACGTTGACGTTCTTGTAGGGCGCCGTCTTCCGCTGGCACCAGAGCAGGAGCCCCTCCTTGGCCGAGGTCTCTGCGGGAGCAGGGATTGGGCGATCCCGGCAGCGGATCCCGGGAGATCCCCGACCCCGGCAGCGGATCCTAGGAGATCCCCCGACCCCGGGAGATCCCCGACCCCGGCAGCGGATCCCAGGAGATCCCCCGACCCCGGGAGCCGATCCCAGGAGATCCCCCGACCCCGGGAGACGATCCTGGGAGATCCCCCGACCCCGGGAGCCGATCCCAGGAGATCCCCCGACCCCGGCAGCGGATCCTGGGAGATCCCCCAACCCCGGCAGCGGATCCCGGGAGATCCCCGACCCCGGGGGCCGATCCCGGGAGATCCCCCGACCCCGGCAGCGGATCCCGGGAGATCCCCCGACCCCGGGAGCAGATCCCGGGAGATCCCCCGACCCCGGCAGCCGATCCCGGGAGATCCCCCAACCCCGGGAGACGATCCCGGGGCGGATCCCGTGTGGATCCCCCAATCCCAGGAGCAGATCCCGTGTGGATCCCCCAATCCCAGGAGCAGATCCCGTGTGGATCCCCCAATCCCAGGAGCAGATCCCGTGTGGATCCCCAATCCCAGAGGCAGATCCCAGGGCAGATCCTGTGTGGAACCCCAATCCCAGAGCAGATCCTGAGGCAGATCCCGTGTGGATCCCCCGACCCCAGGAGCAGATCCCAGGGCAGATCCCGTGTGGATCCCCAATCCCAGAGGCAAATCCTGTGTGGATCCCCCAATCCCAGATGCAGATCCCAGTGCAGATCCCGTGTGGATCCCCCGACCCCAGGAGCAGATCCCAGGGCGGAACCCGTGTGGATCCCCCAATCCCAGAGCAGATCCCAGGGCAGATCCTGTGTGGAACCCCAACCCCGGGAGCAGATCCTGGGGCAGATCCCGTGTGGATCCCCCAATCCCAGAGGCAGATCCCGTGTGGAACCCCAACCCCGGGAGCAGGTCCCGGGGCAGATCCCGTGTGGATCCCCAATCCCAGAGGCAAATCCTGTGTGGATCCCCCAATCCCAGATGCAGATCCCAGTGCAGATCCCATGTGGATCCCCCAATCCCAGAGCAGATCCCAGGGCGGATCCCGTGTGGATCCCCCGAGGCCAGGAGCAGATCCCAGTGCAGATCCCGTGTGGATCCCCCAATCCCAGGAGCAGATCCCGGGGCAGATCCCATGTGGATCCCCCAATCCCAGAGGCAGATCCCAGGAGCGGATCCCGTGTGGATCCCCCGACCCCAGGAGCAGATCCCGGGGCGGATCCCGTGTGGATCCCCCAATCCCAGGAGCAGATCCCAGGAGCAGATCCCGTGTGGATCC